TTCAGCTTGGCGCTGTTGCACTTTACCACACATACACGGCCATGGAGGAGGAGATCGAGAGGAATAAGGACCACCCCCAATTTGCCCCCCTGTATTTCCCCGCAGAGCTGCACCGCCATGAAGCCCTGGCCCGCGACCTGGAGTATTTCTACGGTCCGGATTGGAAGAGCAAGATCAGCTGCTCTCAGGCCACCCAGCAGTACGTGGACCGCATCCACCAGGTGGGGCAAGAAGACCCGGTGCTGCTGGTGGCCCACGCCTACACTCGCTACATGGGCGACCTGTCAGGGGGGCAGGTGCTGAGAAAGGTGGCACAGAGAGCTTTGAAGCTGCCACCCACAGGGGAAGGCCTGGAGTTCTACCAGTTTGATGCGATCCACAGCGCCAAGGCGTTCAAACAGCTGTACCGAAGCCGCATGAATGAGCTGGACCTGGACGTGGCGACAAAGAAGAAACTGGTGGAGGAAGCTGTTAAAGCTTTTCATTTCAACATGGAGGTGAGAGTCTGAGGCAGCTGATGAATCGAGGCACTTTTACTGGTCGGAAACCCCCCTCCCCGATTTAAATAGAGGTATTATAGAAGTGGGTAATCATTAGTGCTATTCTAATGGAATTCTGTTTAAAATGCACTTTGTTGAACCATTTGTATTGATTTAAACTGTAGTCACAACCAGCAAGTTTATTGTACTGTATTCTATTGGGAATTTATGCGACTACCATCAAAATCGTCACTGGCAGTGGGAAAAAGATGCCTCATTTTCATATTTCTTTACAAAAACAAACCAATAAATATGCATCCATGCTCCTGTACTCTTTTATCCTTTAATGAAATCCATTAGTACTGATTGCTTTCAGAAGTCCACTTGTGTGCAATTCAAACCCAGCTTTAATACAGCTGTACTGTTGAGGCCCCAGAAGTTAATTTTAGATCTAATTAATGAACAAGCGGCATCATGAAGACGTATAACCTGTCGCAGCTGGCAGGTATTGGAGAAAGTGGTGTAGAAGATTAAATGTGTGTTGATTCTTAACACAATTTCTACAGTGAAAATCGATGTTGGAGGGCAACTTTATACAAAACCTGTTACAGAATGCAAAAGACTTAAAACTGGAAGTTTAGATCAAAGCATATTTACTTTGACCTACAATATTTAATATTTTGCATATATGGGCAAACAATTCTTACCCGAGAGACAAACAACAAAAGACTTGCAGCTGTAGTTCTGGCCAAAGGCGGATCTGCAAAGGATTGACTTGAGGACGCAGATTGTGATTTGTAAAACGTTTTGAAAACCACACATCATTACCTTCTACATCATCATGTTTCTCGGAGTGTTTTCTGCACAGTGATCTTCGCTTGAATCAGAAACATCGAGTACAAACAATTAATTGAGTTGGAAAGTGGATCTGGGAACTAAATCAAATCCAACTCGACCATGTTCTGGTTGTGAATCAGAAATCACTCTGGTATACTAATTGAGGTGCTCAGTAACAAGCTGTCCATTAGCAGTAAAGGTAAACACAATGTGTTCCTTTACAGATTAATGTATTCGTACAATAAATAATCATGTTCTCTGGCAGATGTACAGCACTGTGCGTGTGAAAGATTTAATGCGATATAAACCACCAGAAGCATCAAATAAACATTAGTACTACATTAACCTGTCTGTCACTAGAGGACCCAAATTTGGGTCCTCTAGTGACAGGGGTGTCAAACTCCAGTCCTCAAGGGCCGCTGTCCTGCAACTTTTAGGTGTGCCTCTTCTGCACCACACCTGAAAAGAATAATTAGGTCATTAGCAAGGCTCAGGAGAACCGATCTACACAGGGAGGAGGTAATTAAGCCATTTCATTCCACTGTTTTTTACCTGTGGCACATCTAAACACTGCAGGACAGCGGCCCTTGAGGACTGGAGTTTGACACCCCTGTCATTGTGAATGACAACCTGAGACCAACAGGTTAAACACACACAACATTGACATTTTTCCAAATGGAACTTGGAAATATCAATAAGATGGCTCCTCTTAAAAAACACAAAGCAAAGTGTAAAGGTTCAAATTCTATTATAAAATATCAATCCAGGTGTTGCTGTTATACAACAAAATGAAGATTAGGAGAACTTTTGCAAGGTATGGTATGAACTAACCTAATGTTTGCTGTGGCAGGTGTTTGAGGAGTTAGAAGAAATCGGCAAAACAATTCAGGAGGATGTTCAAGATGCTGGCATGTCTGTTCATGGGGAGACAGGAGGAGACATCAGCAAATGTCCATACTATGCTGCCAAGATGGGTAAGTGAAGAGTGTGTTGTTCTAAAACGAATCGCTGGATGACTGTTTGCTTCTTCTTGAACGTGGTTTTCTGTCTCCGTTGCATCGCAGCAGCGTCAGGGGGAACAGCGTATTTTGGTCAGCTGGTCATGGCCGCTCTCAGACACCCGACGGGACAGGTCCTGTTTGCCACTTGGTTCGCCGCCCTGGCTGGACTGGCTGCGTGGTATCTGATGTGATCCGGCTGTTACCCGGCTGCTGTTAGAACAGAGGAGCGGCGAAAAGAAGGACAGCAAGGAGCCTGGAATACTTCCACTAACTGACCATTTTATAAAAACATTCAAATCAGGTCTGTGCGTTTGTGTTTTTAGCTTTGTAGTGGTAGAATTTCAGGAGTGTGATCCACAGGACGAATAGGGCAACAACTCCCTCCACAAAGCACACATTTTACTTTCTTCTTCTAAATTTTTTTTTCTTCATAAAAATGTAGATGTTTTTCTTATTTCTCTACCTCCAACACGCTCTCCTTCCATTTGGTGCTTTTCAGTTCTGGTGCATCTGAAGTTATGTTATAGCTGCTTTCTGACGGTAGTAGACCAGCTGTTATAAATAAATACTGTAAGTATGATAACAAAATACAATACTGTTGCAAGAAAAATAGTCAATCCGGATGATGCTCATAATTAGATGTATGCTTTAAATCCTTCAGAGCAATATGAAACAAAGAAGTACTTTTGTACAACAAATATAGTCAATTCACAGTGCTACTTAAAAACATCCATATGCTTTAAGCTTTTTCAGTTTATTTGTAGGTTGCAACCAAAAAAATAACATTTATTAAGTTTTTGTTTTAGACCAATGCATTTTTGTCTAGCTCATTATTAAATGAAGAAGTACCATGACTATAAAAAAAAAAAAATTCTGCATCAAAAAAAAGCTACATTATGTGATAGATTTTTTTGGTCTATCATAAAAAATCTTAACAACTACCCAGAAGTTTACAGTTATAGCATGACAAATTGTAGTAAGGTGTATGGTTGCCTTTTAAAGCCGCTCTAAAAGCAGAAATTGCACTTAATATCTGGATATATAGTGCTCAGGTTTATTGTGGTGACGTAAAGCCATTCAAAACCCCTAGCTGAAGAAACAGTTCTCATTGACTGCACACATAAATATGTATTTATGTGTGCGGCGTGGGTGAGAACAAACGGTTGAGGGCATGTCTGTCTGTTATTCTATAACATAATTACTTTCGACAGGCCTAGATTGAAGCGACACCCTCCTCCTCTCCCCCAAAAAGCTGTAACTGATCACATAATGGTGCATTAGCTAATGAGTTCAGAGTGAGCTCAGAAAAATAAAACGGTAAATCGTATCTGCCATGTACAGTAGGTGAGGCCTTGATGAGGCAGGGTTTAAATGGATATGCATCCATTTATTTTATGCTGTGTGTTTTTCCCTAAATATAATGTGAAAATTGTCACATTTTATTGTATTGTCGTCACACTCAAATGTTTCCAAGACGGTCGTATGTCTGCAATGAGACGGATGGTCGCAACCAAGAAAAACCTTCTTTAAAAGTGCAGGATTATTTGACAGCATTTAAATTCCCATAATGGTGAATCAGTTTATTAAATACAAACAATTACTCTATATTGTAGTGCGTGCTAACTTCAATTATTCTTTTGTTTCAGAATCACGTGATGGCTAAGCCAATAAAAAGCAGTCTCTTTATGTGCATGCTCTAATTTTCTAAATGAAATATGTTATCGCTTACCTGCAGCAGATTTACCTCGAGATAACCGAGTGGGCGCTTGGGATAAACTAATATATTGATCCTGTACCAGCTCAGCTCTCGTTTCTTTATCCAGTTTTGTGGATACACGTTTAACGCGTCACCTCTATTGTACAACGTGCTGGAAGAAGATTCCCATTAAAAACTCAGCTAAGCTTCGTATTGAGTAGAAATACTTTGTGCTGTAATTACACTGAAAATGTAGTATCCGCCCAGATGGAGTGTTGATATTTTAGGAACCTTTTGGAGTGGTTTTTGTATTGATTACCCAAAGAAATGTGCTGTTTCTCAAACGTCTGCCTGGTTCATGTGCACAGTGCGTTTGCTCTCGCGGAGAAAGACTTGCAGCACTTCCAATGCTGGCGCAGCTGCCTGGTTGCAAACATGCCGAAGGGAGCGATTGGGTTTTGTTTTTGAAAGTCTCAGGTTCAGGACAATGAAAGGCATATGGTCGGGTAAAACAGGAACAGTTTGAAATGCTCTTGTAAGCCCATGTTTTATTGCTTTCTCATGGTTCAAGCATGAAGTGCGCGTCAGTATTTCTAGGACCTACTGAAGGGACACAATCTGCAGCCATAAATGAAAATGTTTGACTAATACGTGCTAATTTGTAATTCTTTTACTCTGCTCCTAATTCCTTTGTATTTTATTGGAGCTTTGTGACTAGCTAGAGCACTTTTATTGTACGAGTGAAAGCCAAGAGTTATATTGTGTTGTCGATAACAAAATAAATGGTTTTACTCTGCATATTTTCCCCATTTTTTGTCTTTACTTGTACATCTTGAACTTTCTCACTGCATGATGCTGCCACTACCACGTTTATTTTGTGGATATAGTGTTCATAATCATAATGCAGCATTCCATTTCCTCCACATGCGTTTCAGAGCACCATGCAATATTTTCCTTCCACTTCACTATTTGTGTTGGTCAATTACATAATGCCTCAAAATCCATTGAAGTATGTGGATGTAATGTGTAAGTTGGAGTATAATTTTGGAAGGAAGCGGAAAGTTTTCCCCCAGAAAACTTGGTATGCCCAGTAGTTGGGGCTGTTGTGTTTTTGAGTTAAAAAATGTCTAAAGTTGACAGGAAATTTGAAAATATCACTTGATGATTATGTGTTATTGGAAAATTAATATCTGAACACCAACTATAAAATCTTAAAAAATGCAAACAAAAAAAAAACAAAAAAAAAAACCTTAAATAAGCAATGCTAAGGGGGGTGGGGCAACAAGTAAAGCCTGGTGACCCGCCAGGCTTATAATACACAGTGGAAAACCCTGAAAGCAGCACAGCCTCAATAATGTTAAAGTGACTTAATCACTTATTAAAATGGATAATGACCAAGATAAAATGATCAGATGTTCATAAATAAATCATCCTTTGACTTTTTTTTAAATTGTTTTTTTACAATTTAAAAAAAAATTGTAAAAAACATTTTTTTTTTTTTTTAAAAACAGCCAAAAACATTCAAGCAGCTCTAAGTTGACCTACGCTGGTAGAAATTCTCCACACAAAAATATGACACTTAAGAGTTAGAAGTAAAACAGAGGAGGTTTTATTTTTAAAACCAGCCCATATATTTAAAACTATACAGAATATAGTTTAGAAATAATACATGGTTGAATTCCTGTTTTACTACTGTTACATAGAATTTTAGAACTGTTCAAAACTAAAAATAATTGACAGTTTACAGTTCAGGAAAGCTCGTGTGTCAAATTATCCAACGTATAAGACCTTCCTGCTTAATCTGAAGCTGTAAGCAGACGTTCAACTGTCAGAGCTGAGTAAAGAAGTGTAAAAATAAAAAGACAAGGGTCACATTGTAGTGAGTTAGCAGGATTTAATCCTAAACAGACGTAACTGTTTTTGTAGTTTTTTACTACAATAATTTATTACTTAAATGGTATTTGCCTTTAGATTTGCATTTTGGTAAACAGATGACCAGCATGCACTGAGTACTAAGACACACTCTGCAGTGTGGTGCGTGGTGTCGTTGGCAGACTGGCACATCCGCAGATCCACGTCAGCAGGGGAGCAGAGAAGATGATCCTCAGGATTTTTCACTACAGGACTGGGTGGAAAGCTTCTTGGTCATCCATCCAAAACAATAAACCAACACTCCAAGTCTCTCAGTCTTCTGACCCTCTTTACATTTATACTGTCCTTGCTTTGTGCAGTCCTCTTTTCTAAGTCGGGCTTAGTTCCAGGAGGATCTCTTACCTTGGGACAAAAAATAAAATACAACAAACTTAAAATTGCTGCTCTGTAAATATGACAGTCGGGATGCTATTAATTAGCTGGACGTATAATTCAATGCAAGAGAACATGCACAACTGTCTATGACAGCCACAAACCAGATGACTATGAAGTGCCATGTTTTGTACTATAGCACACATGGAGACGCGTCTAAAGCAACTACTTTCCACAAAAAGCCATACCCGGTTTATGGCTGTCAGGAAGAGCTAAATAATTTCTTTAACTTGGTGAGGAAGCCCTCCTCTTTCAACTCTGCTTCCTTCTCGACATGCCTCCTTTTCCCTGCCTTAGACTGCTCACCACTGCTGCCCCCACCTGGACAGATATTAACACTGCAACTAAGTATAACGTGTTGCAAAAATTCCCATTTTTAATATGGATTTTCAGTAGCTGAGGGAGGGAAAAAAAGAAAAAAGGAACTATCTTGGAGTGAGACGGTCTTCATACCTGTGCTGGTGTTGGTGACTCCATTCACCGTCCCTTCTACATCGGTCTCATCCTCAGCGAAGCTCGTTAAAAGAGATTTCTGTCTATCTGTCAAAGTCCTACAAAAGAAAATTCATTTAAAGTTGTATTTTGGAAACCTCACAGTTTTCCAGTGAACTTTATAGAGAAACAAAGACATCTATGGAGTCTCACTTTGGTATTTTGACTTTGACGTGGATGTAGTGATCTCCAAAGCCATAGCCACTGACGCGAGCAATTCCTTTCCCTGACAGACGGATCCTCTGGTCAGTTTGGACACCTGCAGGGATCTGGGGATGAAAGAAAAATTGCCTGTGGATCTTTCAACTGTTAAAGCATGAAGCTGTAATTTTTTTTTTTTATCAGATTAAGTCTATCTCTACTTACTGACAAATTAAGCGTTTCATAAAGTCCTTGTGCTCTTGCTGTGCCTCCCAGAATGGCTTGAGCCACAGAGACGTAAAGATCAGAGTGAATGTCTGCACCTTCCCTCCTGAACACAGGACTCTTTTGGACCTGGATAAAATAAAGATTATACCAAAGAGTCCAACGTTTGAATGCAGCACACTTTATACTGTCTGACAAATGTTAAACTTGAAATTCACACAAGATAACTTCTAGTCATGTCGTCTTTGCAGTAAATACCAACCCGAAATGTAATGAAGATTTCCTTCTTTCCGACTGGCATTCTGACCGTCTGACCATCCTCCACTCCTGACAGGGGAAAAAGTACAAACAATAATTCAGTTTGTTTTTAAAATCCTCTGAATCTTGCAGGTGAAAATTTTAACCGTCTCCGAATCATCTGGTTCCTGAGAAACGTTTCAGAGCTTTGCACCATGACTCAGTATTTTATTTTATGCAATAGACTAACAAAAACGCTAAATGCCGAGTGCAGTTGACATGATGGTGGCAGCAGGATTATGCTGATAAAGATCTGTGTACCGAAGCTCAAAATCAACTCCTTGACCTATTGTCAGTTTTTAGACAACACTTTCTTCAAACAGTGGTTCAGGTCAAGAAGACACAGCAATCAATACCCTTCTCAAAACAAGGAAAGCTTGACTTTTTTCCATGTTGGAAGTGAAAAAAAATCTGCCAAATGAACTACTACTTTTTGTCAATAGTGTTTTGTTTTTTTTACTCAAAACAAAATCCTATGTTTTGCGTAAATATTACTTGTGAGTTTTCTCCTATTCCAAGCGTATTGAGGTATTTGCACTAGAAACTAAAATACTTGGTAAGATTCTGTTTTTGCAGTGTATGCAGGACAAAGCCAAGTGCTCCTCTGCATGGCTGGCCACTTAAGGCATTAAAGATGAAAAGCTTCCCTCTTCCTCACCTCACCTGAACCCAATTGGGAACTTGTGAGCAGTTTTTAAACTGGAAACTTTTCCATTAATATTGGGCACAAAAATTAAAGAAAAAAAGAAAAAAAAAAAAGAAATCGGACTCAAGGCAAACAGAACCTGCAAGAGGCGTAAAGTGGTGTTTTTAAAGTGCAGCTGAAGAAGTGCTATGAGGTTTACTTATTTATTGAACCGTTAATGATTAACTTCAATGTTACTACAAGATTCAGGTATTCTACTAAATTTCCCTGCTCAACTACGATAAAAAGAAAGAGAGGAATAATTTAGGCAATACAGACTTTGTGAAGGATTGGGAGCTGAATCGATACTTGAGTGTAACTGACCTGCAGGGACAGGAACAACCACAGTCTTCCTCTGCTTGGTTTGTCCAGATCCACGGCAGGTGTTACAGGGAGTTGAAATAACTGTCCCTTTCCCCCCGCAGCGCCGGCATGTAGAACGCATCACAAACGGTCCTGTGTTTATCGTTTCCTATAGGTACGGGGAGAGGTCTCTTTTAGAAGTATAACCTAAAATCGCATAGAAAATGGAAACTTCATGTAGGAGTTCTTACCATGCCGGAGCCGTTACAGTGGTGGCAGTGCTGAACCTTAGTCCCCGGCTCATGGCCTTTCCCATCGCAGCGCTGGCAGGTTGCCTCTATGTTAACAGACATCTCCTTATTCACTCCCTTTGCTGCCTGGGTGAACGTCAGCTCCATGATGTACTGCATGGAAAACGGAGGGAACTTCAGAAAAGGTGCTAAAAGGCAAACAGCTGATCGCAGCGTTGCTTGGCTTTCTGTAAATCTCACTAACCTCCTGTGGCTGATCAAATATGGCGTTGAAGTCTCCGAAGCCACGGCCTCCCGAGAATTCGCCAAAGATTTTGCGGAAAAGCTCCTCCGGGTCCACATGGCTGGCCTGTCCACTCCAGTACTGCTGCTGTCCTCCGGCCTGACCCGCCATCCCGTACGTGTCGTACTGCTTCCGCTTCCCTTCGTCACTAAGCACCTGAGGAGATATAAAGAGCAAGGGTTAAATCCACATTAAAACTCATAGACGAGACTTTTCCCACCAAAACACAGGGAAATCTACTTTACCATATTTGGTAAAGTAGATTTTGTATTTGACGGGGTGTGCATAAGACTGACATGACACCGTCATAAATGTGAATGTTGTCATGAAGTGTCATTCGGTAAATAATGACACTTTTAATGCAAAGTTGCTTTAAAAGTTGCTTTGGAAGTCCATTAAAAGTGCTAACTTTGCATTAAAGAGTCATTATTTACAAAGTAATACAAAGTTGACACTTCTAATGGACTTTTAAAGCAACTTTGCATTAAAAGTGTCATTATTTACCGAATGACACTTCATGACAACATTCATAAAGGCTCCTTCATGTTCATGACAGGCGCTGTGTCATATTTATGACAGTGTCATGTCAGTCTTATGCACACCCCGTCAAATAAAGTGTTACCCGATATTTATTGTAAGAACTGAAAGCAAACCTCGTATGCTTCAGCCAACTGTGCAAATTTTTCTTTTGCTTGCGGGTCGTCTTTGTTTGTGTCTGGGTGGTACTTTTTGGCCATCTGTGAACAAAACAAGACAAAAAGTAAACATCAACTTCTGTGATTCTTGCTTAGGTTGCCATTATGCATGTCCTGATCAGGATTCTGCCCCCTGCTACCAATCAGATTAATATAGGAACGGGCATTTCCAGATACACAGTCTCAGCCCAATACTTTATTAAAACTGATGCTATGTATACATGCATAAAAGTGGCTTTAAAGTGTGGCAAAAATAAATGACAGCAACAGATATTTTGTCTCAAAAGGAGCTTCTGCAGGATAGCCTTGTGTTTAGCAAACAAGTATATGCTGAAGAGCTAGTCTACCGATAGCATGTTTTGTCTGTTTTGATATGACCCGTTCATAATTCCTCTCGTAATATATTTCAGTGTAGTTCATTTCCTACATTGACTGTAAACACTGTAAAAGTGTAAGACTGTTAAAATGCCAGAACCAAGCTGATTCCTATGTGAATTAAATATGCTGCTGGGCTTAAAATACATGAAAGTAGGCTGTGATTTTATTTTTAGATATTAGACCGCACCAAATTGCAGCTCCGCATCTCTTTGGGATTGAACAGACACAAAAATCCCAGACAATAGGGATCTAGAGTATAGCTGCAATATTTATATATGCAAATTCACATTTGCTTGCATGGATAATTTTGAAAGCTGATACATTTTAAGTGCTAATAGTTCACTGTCTGCAGGTCAATAATAAATTTGGCCATTTGGATGGAATGTAGCTGGTCTTGATGCCACAACTTATAATTTTAATAGCCAAGAAGCTAAAGGCCACAGACAGTAGTGAAGACTTTGTGAAAATATAGAAAATGTCAGGCAAATGTTAAGTTAAACTCATAAATCAGCAATAATATTGCACTGCCACATTTACCACCATAATTTCATATCATAACATTGGGAGTTACAACTACGCCAAGCTGCACATGAGGCGAGATCAAACCTGGTAGTAGGCTTTCTTGATCTCCTTTTGGGATGCGGTGCGAGGGACTCCAAGAATCTGATAGAAATCCTGCTTGCTGCTAGAAGAGGCGCTTGTGTGGAAGGACAGCGTGTAGAGAGCATGGGGCGACTTCAGACCTGAACGTTGGCCAGAAAAGTCAGAGGGTAAGTAAATGACATCTAGAAGTGTTACAAAGTTGCAAAGCAGCTTATTTTTCATAGTTCTCAGTTAAAATGTTCAAGTCTGTTTGGGTCTCAGACCCAAGACCTATAAAAGTCTCTATAAGCTTATATTGCAAAAATGTTTTGTTCTGATTTTCTTTTATTTTTTTAAAAATAATTAATATATATGCGATCAGTAACTGTAGTAAAAAATGACTTCAAAATGGCACTGAACTTTATTGGTTAAAAATAGGGTAGTGTTAAAGGATTTCACTAAACTGTATAGAACTGATTTGGCACTGCTGATTTTGCTTTATTGTACTTGGAGAGCAGTCAAAAAAAAAAAAAAACAATACAAGCATAATTTGCAACAGTTAAAGTACAAACAAAATAGTCTCGTCTTTGCTAATGTCACTTAAAGACTGCAAAGTTAGCAGGAGTGATTACATCACATTTTATGAGGTAGTTCGAGGTACATGTATAGATGTTAAAACCTTATTTCATCGTTGTAACGTTTGTAGTTAGATATTACTTTACGGTTATCCGATTATTTTAGGCCGTGTCACTTGAGTAAAATGATATTATTATGGTACATGTAGCTTAGCTTATTTTAGCTTAGCTGATGTAGTTCTCACCTGACAGCCCTCTCAATGTCAACGCTTTTCCTGCTCCACCGCAAAACAAGCTGCCCCCACGCCACAACTTCTCGGCTCCCACAGTAGAAAAACTCCGGAGGTTTCCATGGTCAGAAGACAGAACGAAACCGGCAGCTCTTCGAGGTCCAGAGGACACGATGACTGCAATCCAGCGTGAGGAGCTGCGAACGGCCGAGGACGCCATCATGCCGACAGTCACCACCGCTTGTGAGACTGCGCATGCCTGGGAAAACGGTGTGGGCGTGCATAGGAAATAGGGAAAAAATAATAAATAAAAAAAACAACAAAAAACGCTTTTTTTTGTTACTTTTTAGTAAATTATACGTCAAGCACTATAGTTTTTCAAAAGAGAGGAAAAATATATTTATTTGCAAAAACAAATCACATGAAAAAAATTGATGCAAACGTTTTATTCTCCGAGGCTGCACGTTTCGGAACACCGTGTCGTTTAACCACAGGATCGTACGTCGATATCGCCGCCTTATTGTGAGTGGCATTTTTGTTAGACATGCAAAAACTTCTAAAATCCCGGTCTGTTTTACAGTTTTGGGTTCGAGCTACTGTATGTGTTACTATATGTGGTCTGTTTTGATCAGAGCTTGGCAGGTCCTAGCTATATGTACTCTGTTACATTTATTTTAATAAGTTCATGAAAAAATATTTGTAGGGGTACAAATATTGACACACAAAAATACATCCAGTCTGGAGAGTCTTCTGGTTCGTGGTTTGTTTTCCTTTTCTGAGTCCCCATGAAAAAAAGTCTACAACTGTCACTGGTTTGAAGGGGAAATCGAAGACACCGCCCAGTCGTTCGGCTCGGCTGGTAGAGCAAATCGAACGAACACCGCGCGGCGAGCCAAAGCTGTCAGCTGCAGCAGCGGCAGCACTCTCAGCAGTACCAACCAGCTCGACAGACACCCGGAAGGCACGAAAGTCAATTTGGGAGAGCATTATGAATCGTTTTAAGACCTCCAAATTCAAAAACACCACTCCGAAGGTTGCCAAGAAAGAGGTGAGTAGTGAACCCGCTTCTGGATAGAAACAGTTCTCTTGGCTAGCACTAAATTGCTGAGCTACTTTTGGGGAGGAACGCCTGCCTGTCTGCTTGCAAGGGATGTTGAACTTCCTGCATCTGGGAGCCTGTAGTAAAGAGAAAAATATGAATGCACTTGCTACTAGTGCCTATTTATATGTATTTGTCAGCCTTGTGGCTGCATTTCAGCAGCTGACCTTCGTCAGACGTTGTAATGAAACCCATTGTTAAGCTTTTGTTTTACTGATTTGTAATTTTCCCGTTGTAATTGTTGCCCACTTTTGAGTTTTGTTGGGATGCCGCTGAGATTTTTTTTAAGCTCTCAGCCATGGGGAAAGGAACGTATAAATTTCAGTAATCGACATGTCTGGACCAGAATTCATGTGTCTTGCATACAAATAAGCCTTTGAACCCATTAGTTCCAGGTTACAGCGCCTGCACAACCCGTGTATGGAGCATTTTATGCAATCTACTGCCTCCATGCAGACAAATGAAAGCCTTGCATGCACACACCCACCCATAATCAGTGGATGTCCCCCAGTCTCTGCACACGCAGCAGGTGGTGCCTTGCTCCTGTGAATGCTGAAGCAATAATTCTTGTAGGCATGTAGCTGTTCCGAGCCATGTGCTTTCATTTCATAACGGAATGCAGGAGCAGAAATAGGACGGGAGACGTAAGGAGCACAGTGAGGCAAGCAAGGAGCGGTTTGAGGGGCTTGACAGGAAAATAAAGACGAGTGGGTGTTGCTTGATTGAATATTCATAGATGAGTTGGTCCAGCTTTCGTTTGAGGGAAACAGACGCTCTCTTGCAACACTGCCGAGCCAGTTTCTAATCATCTATGCAGATCTTGTTGAAATGTCTTTGAGGTCTTAAGTGAAAACAAACCAATATGCAGGTTTATAGGAAAAAAAAAAGATTAATAAGTGTTCCCTGAGCAAAACTATTAATGCCTTCTTTATTCATACTGTTAGAGTTGCTTTTTGTTGTTTTTTGTCCAGCAGCTTAGCAGTAGTTATTGGAGCATGTTGTACACACATGCTGCTCTTGCCATGTTAACGTTATGTAAGACCTTTCTCTGCTGTGCAGTGAAAGGAGCACTTCCATTTCCTCTGCTCTGTGCTCGTTCTAAAACTCTAAAGTGTGTGTACACTCAGCTAGATCCTTCCTGTTTATCGCTGGCTTCTTTTTCTTTGACGGTTGTTGCACCAACTTGGTCACATGCTCTCCTCCCTGTCATTAAGCTCACACTTTTTTCTTCCCATGTGTTTCTTTTTTTCCGTTCATGCGTGGGTTTCCTTATTTTTGCCTCTTTGTCTGTAAATGTAGGGATGGATTAACAATATCCACGCTGGCTCCGTCTCCTGCCAGGGGAGCCACATCACAGCAAGCTCCAAGCTGGTGGCTTTCAACACCGATCAGGCTGGTATGGCTTTAATGTTGTGGCAAAATAAAAAGACTGTCTTTAGATCAGACATCTGCAGCTGTTACGAATGAAAGATACATTTTGCCCAGTTTCCCTGCAAATGTTGTTGATGACTGCTGAACTCCCTTAAAATTAAGATAGCCTTGCTTATATGTGGAAAAAAGAAGCTACATGTTGTAAAATGAAAAGCAATTGTCTTGTGCGCATAAGAACCAAAATATAAGTCTGAACTCCTTTCATGAGCACATAAAACAAATTTTTCATTATGAAAAATATTTGATGCAAACTAAACACAAAACAGAATTGCTCCAGTTTTTTTCCCATATTTTTTGTAAAATGAAAAAGTTACATTGAAATAAAAAACAGATTTTGAAATTAACAAAAGCTAATATAAAATATACCCTTCATAAAAAAATATAAATCTGAAAATCTATGTTCCTAGATGCTCTTATTCCACTCCAGTTTCTATCTCTTTCTTTCCAGTAAATAACTGTAATACTATTTTGTGTCGGTTAATCACATTGAAGTTTTGGGGTTATTTCACATAACAAAATGTGTAATGGCTAAAGGGGTAGGAGTTATTTTTCCAGGCAGTGTTCAGGCCTCATGAACCTTTTTTTGGTATCAGTAAATGGGTTTTATTGTGTGATTTCTGCCAGGTTTTATGTATTGCATGTCTCTGTAGGTGGTGGGATGGTGGGCCTGACCTCAGTCAGCCCTTCGGATGGCCAATGGACGGTCACCCAGATCTCCTGCCATTCCGGTACTTTTCTCTGTTTTTGTTTAATTTCATGTGATGCAAATAAGTACATGGGTCATCACCATTCAGATTGTGTGAGTGATTATAAACAATGTGCTTTTTGCTAATACCAAATTTTTTCTGAGTTATTTAGTATCTTAAAGCACATAAAGAGCCACATTTTGTGCAAAAATTATACTTGGAATATATCTGACGTCCTGTGTAGCTTATCTTTAATGAGTTAAGAACATATTGTGTTTTTGTAAAATAAAGAAGTGCAGACAGTGTCTAAAAATAAAAGCTTGACAGATAGGACCCATATCATTGTTTTTAACTTGAGTTTTCTTTTCTCCTTCAGATCTGGTGACTGATATGGACTTTTCTCCCTTTGATGAGTGTCTCCTGGCAACCTGCTCTGGGGATGAAACGGTAAGCTCTGCAATGTCCTACTTTCTTCCCAACTTTGCCATTATTTGTCCCCTTTATCTTTCTTTCCCTACCCTACCCTTCAGTATCCTCCAGAATATTTTTTTCAATTCCCCTTACTTCCAAATGTTTTCCTGACATAAAGTTTTTTGTGATCTCAAAAAAAAAAAAACCAGGAACCTCTTACGGTCTATTATGCACAATCCAGACCTCATTGTATTTTAATTCACATTGGAAACCTTCCCTAAAACCTTACTGAGACCATCCGTCTTCTGACAGATGTTATGGTACAGTCTTTATCTGGTCTGAACGGAGTCATAGTTTTGTTGTAGTGTCATAAAACATAAAGTTCATAACTAAACCCTATAGCATGACTTGTGTATCTGAATCTGACATTTCCCTGTGTTAAATCAGTAGTCATCACCTCTAGCTGTCTTATCTACACTGAGAAGAAAATGAATTGGCATTAAAACCTTGACAAGGCGATATGGTCACCCGAATTCTTCACCATTCTAGATGGAGAAGAATGTCAAACATTTACTAAGACCGTTGCCAGTAAAAACAAATGGGAGATATTATCCTCACATCTGACAGTCCTGTGTGTGCAGGTGAAGCTGTGGCGTTTGTGCGATCCAGAGCAGGAGCAGCCCAGCAGTCCTGAATTGACTCTACAGCCAGGTCAGGGCAGGCTAGAGCTTGTGCACTTCCATCCCACTTCCTCGGGCCTGCTGGCTGTTGCAACCACCAAGTCTCCTCTGATTTGGGACACCAGCAGGCAAGATGCGCCTCTTGCAGGTAATCGCATTTAAGTTTCTGTGTGCCCTGACGAAATTAAACTACGTGTCTCAGAAAGTTTTGTCTCGTTGTACATTATGTATCATGTCTTCAGTCTATGTCAGTTAAAGCCATGTTCATGTTGTTTTTATGTGTAGCAAAAATATGTATTTGGTCTGGAGTGAAGCAGTAGGTTGGCTTTTTTTTTTTTGGTGGAGTATGTCTGACTGACCTGCCTACATTTTACAGCCCTGTGGCTCTGTCTAAGTGCTGGAGCAGCAGAGGTAATGTTTTATTTCGCAGTCCTGAGGCTAATCTCCTCAGGCTGGCCTCAGGATGCACTCACTGTACTCTGGCCTCATTCACCCCCCTACCCCCATATTTTGCTCCCCTACCACAAACACTGCACACCCACTCCACCTCCCCATGACAGCTGACCTGGCTGCTGCTCACTGCTGATCCAGCATCTCATGAACTGCTCCCTCCACAGAGTCTTTCATTTCTTTCATTTGTTGTTGTTATTTTGTGGTCAAGGGGAAAAAATATAAGGTTCATACTTTAAAAAAAAAAAAAAAGAGTAAATCTTTATAGGAACACCCTTTATTTTTCATCCTTTTGTTTCTTGGTGTTACAAAGAAACTTCTCGCACGCTGTGCTGTGCTCTCTTCTGACACAGCAGAGTTTTGTACATCAATGCTTAAACTTTTCACACATTCTTATGTAAATCATCTGCTCTGTCTTTGTCCTTTTCTGAATTGTTTGGCTTCATCTTTCCTTGTTTTTCTGTGGTGACGTCTTCAGAATATTATTTTTTTTTTTTTTGTCACGTCTCTGTGTTTATTGTCATTCTTTGTTCACCATTCGTGTTGTCATGCTTCCTCTTTTTCCTAAACTTTTTCCGTTCCTGTCTGATCTTTATCTTGCTGTGTTTGCTGTTCCCTTTCACCTTAAATTGATCGTCTATGTTCGCAGCCTTGGAGCAGCACAGCGACCAGTTGCAGAGTCTCAGTTGGAAGCGGGACGGCTCCCTTCTTGCGTCTTCCAGCAAGGTGAGGCTAATTCAGTGCACCAAGATTAGACAGGAGACATGAGCATTGCCTGATTTGTTTTAATTAATCTTGCAAATAGACAGTTTCACGTAAACGTTTAAGATGATCTTGAGACTTATGTTTTGAGAATGGCTTTGGCTGCTCTTCTACTTATTTTTTTTCTGTCTTGTATCCTTCTTAACTCTATAAGAGATAATAATGTTCATTTGGCATTCTCTTTTTCTCAAAGTTGTGCTCATCCATGTAAAATGCCAGGATTATGTGATGTTTAAAAGGAAAGTATTAATCATTTCAAAACTTTGCTCTACTACAGTATGACATTTATCCTGGAAAATAAGCAATTGTGAGGAAATATGTAAAAACAATAAATAAAAAAAGATGGCAATGACCTTGATACACACCCTCAAATGTTTATATAAAGTCTTTTCAGTTTACGTATAACATCAGTTATATTAACTACAGGTAATACTAATAAATAGGACAAAATTACAGAATATATGTAGGAAAACATGGACATAAAAAACTTGACTTTCCTCCAAAATTTGTTGAAATGTTGAAAGCGAAGAGGCCACTAAGAAGCCGTTAGCAGCACTGAACCAGCTACAGAGAAATCTGTGTTTTACATGCGACAACAATCATTACTTTGCCATATGTTTGGACTGGAGTGTAGAGTTACAAGACGGATAACAAAATGTCCATATCTGCCTAAAATCTGTAACTGTAATCCTGAGTTATGGTCAGAAAACATACTACATTATTCTGTCATGTTGCTTCTCTTGAATTGACCTATTATATTGTACTGTAAAAGTGATTTCCATTGCATTTAATTGAACAGCACTAAAGACCAATCAGTTTTGAAACCAAAACTATACCACTTTTATTAGAAACTGAAGGATGAAGACAGATTTGATCTGTATAGCATCCTCATGAATCCAGATCCACATCCAAGTCAACAAAAGAACAACTCCTCCAGACAAAAAAAAATGTTTTTAGACTGATACATTACCTAAATCTGACAGAAAATATACTGCTCAAAAAAATAAAGGGAAGATTTCACTTTAATTTTGTGTGTGGCTCCAAATCCAGGCCTCCACTGGTTAATAAATTTTATTTCCATTGATGATTTTTGTGTGATTTTGTTGTCGGCACATTCAACTTTGTACAGAACAAAGTATTCAATGAGAATATTTCATTCATTCAGATCTAGGATGTGTTATTTGAGTGTTCCCTTTATTTTTTTGAGCAGTGTATATCTTGTCTGGAGATTCCCAGACGATTGGTTTGGTGAACTTTTGCTACATAAAACTGACAAATACTGACTTGTGAAGATGTCGCATGGTAATGGAATTCAACCTAAGAAGATTGAATGTTTTAATTCATTAAAAGATGCTTCAGCTAAGTATTAGATTGAGCATGTGCACACTTATCTAATGGAGTTCCTAAACTTTATATATACATATATTTCTCCATTAAAAGGTTAGTTTCTTTTTTAATGAAATTTTACAGGAGATGCATTGCATTAAATGCTCAATCTTTAGTCAATTCGCATATTTTCAGTTTTTTTTTTAATTTTTTTACTAAGATTGGCACAAGAGTGACCTCACAAAGAAAAGAATGGCAGAAGAACTTTTTAAGCATTCCTAAAGTCCTGAAAAAGTAAAAGCTATGATGCTTTATACTTTGCTTTTAAAGAAAGCAAAGTAAACGTTTAAAACCATCATTTTTCATTAAGAGGTTTATTTGGACCCAGGAGCCATTTGCTGCAGTTACAGGTTGTCACCACTAGATGCTGCCACTGAACCATATCCACCTTCTCAGTTTGGAGAATTCAATCAAAATGTCAACAAGGTGAAGCTCATAAAAGAGGGCGGGAATGGCGTTCAGCATTGGATTAGGAATTATTGAGACTTTTTCAAAGGAAAACGGGGGGAAAAACTTTGATATCAGTTCAATGTAAAAACTTTAATTACCAGTTTTGTTACAGCGGTGAAATAGTAATGCCAAAGACATTATTATGAAGGGCCTGAGGAGATTTTCCTAAATGAGATTGGAAAACTGCTTGGAAATTAAGAAACTAATGGAAACAGGCTGTGTGTGAAGGTTTAGTCACTCGGGGTTGTAAATCTGTCTCATCGCTATCTGACCTTTCAGTCCCTGTACCCAGCATAGCTTAATGGCCTCCTTGGTCAAACAACTTTTATGTTGCAAAGCTTCAGTGTTTTACACATATTTATGTTGAACATCGTAAACCGTAAAGAGAGGGTAATTTATTGTACAAGATAAAAAGGTCCTTCTCTATATTAATGGGCTTTCTATTAGGTTATCGTGAATTAACAGAAAGAAAAAGAAACGATTAAAATTGTTCTATAAGTACAATGTGGGACGTTAATGTAAAGATACTGCTCAATAAGGTAGAATATAATTGAAAAGTTATTTTATTTCAGTAATTGGTTCAAATAATGAATCTAATTTTCATGTTTTTTTGTGTTAATTCTTTTGATTAGCAATGATCTTCTGTGGTTCACAGTGCTTGTTGAGTCTCAGTGACTTTCTGCTTGACAGCTGACAAGTCAGCATGTTTTTACTGGTCCTATGCAATATTCTAATGGTACTACATTTTGATAAATTTATATCTATAAATTCTCTTTCTTTATTCATATTTTTATGACTTGTATTGATTTTAATAATCCTAACTGACCTAAAACAGAAACGTTAAGCTTGATTCCGTTACTTGAAACATTAGGGTGATTTTAATTATTGAAATTAACTTTTTATTGATATTCTACTTTCATGATTCATGTTTGTTCTTCGACTTATATCTTATTACATACCTAGAGTGACCTTCTCTTTGCTTTGTTTCTTTGTTGAAATCTCAGTGGCTGATGGGAAAATTTATGTGAGGCCACTGGATCCTACATTAGACCATGTGCAATGACGCTTTCTCATCCTTGAGAACAAATGACCTTTGACACAGAAATGTACCAAGTTCACCTATTTAATAGGTATGATTGTTGGTTGGCTGCCCCTAGTTTGTCTCTTTCTGACAAGTAACAAATTACTCCAGCCATCACAGGATTTGTCCAAACCATGACATTCCCGACAGGATAATCATCCTAATCAGAGCTACAAGCTTTACTGATGCAGCCTGAAAGATCAAGACACCTGAGAAGAAAGTGTGTGTGTGTTTGAGGGCCTCTGAGTTTTTAGCCATGTTCAACTCGGGTGTCATTTAACTAAAAGGGCCGCTTTCACTCCCTTCAATTGGAGTTATTAAAGCAAATAGAGCTTGCCAACATGTGGGTCCAATCCCCGGCTCCTCTGTAGGGTAAACACCGGTGGGGGAAGATGAAGGGAATACCCCGTCCCCGAAGAGCAGTAATCATAACTGGCCTCATTTGGACTGAAAGAAAGGTGTGTTTATGGCACGTGTGTAGGAGGAAAAAAAAAAAAAAGAGAGAGAGATTCTGTAAAGTGCAGGCAAAGCTACAGGTAGTGTGAGTGACAAACAGGATCAACTATTATGCTGCCCAGACACCATGCTGTAACGAATACTAGATAAAGAAGCTACAGTCTCGGCAGGCTTTGACCCGAGTAACCACGGGAGACTGGGAACAGCAGTCTGGCAGTGCCGTCTGTTTGACGAGTGCAGCGACTGATGGAGAGCGCTGCCGGGTGAAGATTCCCAGCGTCTGTGTGTGTGTTCGGTGCGCAGTGAAAACTCATCAACGGCAGCTTGAGAGTGACGCGCCGCCTCTTTGATTAAACAGCTGCCGCATAAGCACACCCGCACAAATCCAGACGCGGCCATGCAGGGCTCCCATCTGTGCATTTATGAGTTTAGGTGGTATGTGTTTTTCCATGTGTGGTGTTGTTAGAGGGATAAGAGAGAGTGATTGTTTGTTTGAGTCTGTGCATTTATGCAGTTGTTTGGCGAGCACTTCTGTTCATGAATAGCCCCTCATTTGTGTATTTGCACAGCCAGATATTGTCCTCCTTTGTGTGTTGTTTGCACTGCAACACTTTGGTTGGTTATGAGACCCAAAATGCTCACTACTGTGCACCTCTGTGAAACACGGTGTGTGTTTTGGATCACAGAGTACCAGAATTTTGACTATTTCTCAGTCTACTACAGCAGACATAGACAGAATACTGTTAATTTATTTGAGTGTTTTAGCACATCATTATAAGAAATGCTTTGGAAATCATTGTTCCACATTTGGACAAGTTTGTCACACTTTCTTTGGATGTCTTTGGTTTCATGTCTTTTGGAAAAGTGTGTATACTGCTCGAGCAGTTCTTCACTGTGTCTCTCCAGAACTGGGAAACAGCATCCAGGAATAGTTTTAGGGAAAATAACACACCACCGTGTAAGACGCCCAGGAAAACTGGGAAACCGCATCGGTCCCTAGCAAAGTATTTGCCATAATGTTATGTTAATTCATGTAACAATGCTTACCACATAGTAGGGATGATTTTCTGCCATAGCTATTAGCATTTAAGTAATGAGATGAATTTAAAAAAATACTCAAACTCATCAGAACTTTAGACATGTAATCATTTATGCTCTTTTTAAAATTAAATTGACTTTATAGGCCATTATGAGGATCTATCCTCTATTTATATTTTTATGCAAGTACATTTGTATTTAATTATTCCAAAGCATAATTGAAGGTAAGCGAAGTAAAATTTTGATAATAGTTTCTGAACCATTCTAAGCTCCAGTTTGTCCCAATGTTTTGTTTGTTTTAAGAATTTTTTTGGCTCGATTTCCTGTTGTTTGATAGTGAAATAACAGAAAAAGGAGACTGTGAGAGAGGAGAAAGACATGTTGCAAAGGTCGACAGGATGAGGCTCGAACCTGTGATGGCCGCATTCAGGACTGAGGCCTCTATATATGAGTCGCACGCTTTGCCCGTGCGCCATCACTGTGCTCTGTCTCAATGTTTTTAATTGGGTTTGCAAGAAATAAATTTACTAGAATTGTTAACTAAAGCTCGGTGGAAAGAACAGGTGGAGTCTTACCCAAAGGACATGAGGAGGAGATTTGTTTGAGTGTTGTTCCTGGACTGCTCTCTGAGCCCGGAGCTTACTCCCAGGTCACAGAGGCCTGAAAACAGACCTGGAGGGGCATCATATTCGTGGGTGGGCTGCACAAAGACAAGTCAGATACCAAAAACCACCCAAAAGAAAACAAAACAAAGCAAAACGGTTCATTATTCATACCAATGTTTACTATTGATGCCAAAAATTGCAAATAGATGCATCTTGCAATTGCAGAAAGGATCAGAGTGGAGACGAAGTAACGCTCTGTTCAAATTTTTCCAACATGTGTTTTTATGTGAAAGGATAGCAGGATAGAAATCACAATGATTCTTGCTCAGTGTGTCCAAGTGGAGTTTTCTGTGTTATAGTCAGCCTCCTGATTCCCTTTGACATGTATATGTTAGGTGTGGCATGGTTGAGCCTAAGTGCTTAGAAGCATTACCTGCTATCAGCTCCATGTGTCAGGCGGTTGCTGTGATCATAGTCACACAGCAGTATTGAGTGACACAGCTGCAGACACATGCGTCTCGCACAGCCTGATCCCATTAGGCATCATTTCCTTTCAATCACATACAGTTCCCTATGATTGGCTGCTGTGGCGGAGACTGTGTGTGTGTTTTAATAGACTGGGGTCAAGGCATACGAGGGCACAGAGAGGTCACTGGATTTTATTTGCTGATGGTGAATCAGTGAGATTTTTGCTGATTGAATGACTAAACTCTGAGCAGTTTTGTTCTTTGTTTGAATTACGCTAACGAGGAGGGACCACTTGTTAATACTTTCAATATGCATCATTAATATTCTAGCTTTTTATGTGGGTTGCATGAAAATTCTGTTGCCAACTGAAAAGTCTGTAATTTCTTCCACATTTTCTTTAAGGCAATTTTGAAAATCCTGAACTCAAACAAGCTATCTGACCTCTCTTACGTGTTAAACTTCTTACTCCTCAGCTTGCCTCTTATGTTATTTCAACTTAACTTCAGAATCTTTGTATAAACACAGATCTGGGAATGAAAGTAATCCTCATGCAGAACAAAGAACACCTAGGTTTTAGAGTTTAGACTTATTTGAAATTTATTTGATTTGCTCGCTGGTCGGCCCAGGGTTCTGTGGTGCGTTTAATAAGCCTACAATACATACAGCACGGAGAAAGCCAGATGAAAAAATGCAATATCAAGTTGTGTCAATCTTTTTATGGTCTCAATGGAGGACTTAGCAGCTTATGCCAACATGAGGCATGTGAGAGTTTGATTCAGGACTCGGCATACAGCCATGGCTTGTGCTATGGCTGCACCCTCATCACACGCACATTGGACTGGCATCTCTCAATTTTATTTGTTGCAAAGCTCTTTGTGTTTTGACTGATATTTGCATTCTGACCAGATAATTTTCTGACTGTATCAAAAAGGATCTAATCAATAAGCAACCTTATATGATTTCCCTGCCATACAGACATTTCCATGATAAGGCCCCTTGCACATAAACCTCCGATTTAAAAAAATGGGGGAAACGTTTCTATGTACATTACATTGTATTTGTGAAATATTTTGAAAGCCATGGTTAGGTTCCACTTCTACCATCTTTATGTACCTTATTCTGCCAAATACGACTGTAATAAATTTGAAGTGATCCAGCAATGTTTGGAAGGTTGTTGAGCTCCAAGAGACTTAGACATTTAATAGCAATGCCTTTACATATGAATGTTACTGATCAAAATTGTTGTTGTTTTTTTTCATTATAAACAATGTCTCATTTACCAGTACAAAGTTTTTTTATAGCCCATTCCATCCCTTTTCTTTTGTTTTTAATCTTGCTTTCTTCTCCTGCAGGACAAGATGTTGCGAGTGTTTGATCCCAGAGCCCAGTTGACACCTGTTCAGGTAAGACCACCAGACTTTGATAAATCATAGGAGGAGTTATGATCTTCTTGGTCTGCTAGTAAGAAAACTCCTTCCTTTCGAAATCACTGTTGTATGGGTGTAATCACCACTGGTCATTCACCACTATTGGTAAATGATTATATAGTGGTCATTTACCAATAGCGGTGAATGACGCTAATCGTTAATGCCCATCGCTAATAGGAATTAGTGATTAGCAAATGTTTTTTTCCCCCCATAATGTATGTACTATGCGTGTTGACAGTATCATGGGTTGCTCCCACTGGCCACTCAGTGACTCATCTTGCTCTAATTTATGAATGTGGTGCACATGGTGGAGTCCCTGCCCTCAACTTCCCACGGTACCCACCCCTCTCTGATACAGTGTGAACTCAAAACCCCCTTTTTTTTTTTTTTTTTTTTTTTTTACCCTCGATGTAAATCTCTCACTGACCCCCACATCTGAGCCAACGGTTGCCATCACAACGAGCATCAACGGGAAGGCAGAGCTGTCGAGCTGTTTCGGAGCTGAGAGGAGAAGAAATGGAAGTGTCACGAGAGGCTGCTCACCGTAGAGCAAATATTCTCACACATTTTGGTGGTGGACCTCCCAGTGTGTTTTAATTACTGGGATGCTCAGCCCGCCTCGTGGGCTCTCTGGTTTTGTAAATACGAGGAATCCTGCGAAAACACCGCATGCCCCAGCATATTAAATATCGCATCCCAGAAATACCTGGGAGGTACATCAGCTTGTATGGCAATGAGAGGGGGAGCGTATTTGTGTGTTCACGCTCTGTGTACTTGTGTGGACTCTTTCATCTGTTTACACTATGTGCTCAACCGTGCGTTCTTTATTTGTTTTGAAACTTTCGAGATCTCTCTGAGAAGCGTAGCGAAGATTTCTGATAGTTAACGCCGCTCTCTGTTGTCTGAGCTTGCAATGGGAACTTCAAAGCTTTTCTTTGAAATACTCTGCCCAACAAATTATTCAGTGTAATTCAAATATAATTTAAATGAGCTTTCATGTAACGTACTTGATACTATTGAAGGGGTGATTGAGTTGCGTACTGTTTCTGGTGACAGGGTAAAAGGACATCATCTTCTACAATTTCTAAATCTGTCTTTTTTAAAATTTAACATCAAAATCAAGGCAGCAAGACACTTGATCAGCTATTTTGTCATATACCCCATTATTTTAGTTCAGCAGTTGTGAATTAGATGCATTGTGCATGAAATGTATATTGCAAGGTTATTGATCACCTGCATTGTTACATTTTGTGAAATTAAGTTATAAATGACCACAAACTGTTTTATTCAGAGTTATCTGTGTTTAATCTTAGAAAATCCAGTCCAGAGTGTAATAAAATAGATGGGAAAAGCTCAGGAAAGGAAGCATGGAAAAGTACACCATGCTTGTTCCATTCGAACCCTGAGTTAAGTTTTCTCAACTTCCTCGATTTCTTTGCATAGTTTCTGCATGATATTTGTGTGTGGGCTTTTTTATTAGTTTTTTCATGATCAAAAGCTGAAAAAATTTCTGTATTCAATCAACAAATAATTATGATTAACAAATCCCAGTTGCCAGATTGGCACCCACAGAAGTTCTAATGAAATAGTTGGTACATTTTATTCATTTCTACCATATTTGTTTGTGCATTAGAGGGTTTGGAAAGTTTTGCTTGTTGAGTCATAACTTGTTTGGTTAGAATATTAATATGACTTTACACAGTGGCTCAATTCTCTTTACGAAGTGGGAAGGATGAGAGAATGGGCTCATGCTAAGTGTTTGGTACAGTGGCGGGTCTGTGATGCTGTGGGTCAGTTCCTCTCTGGGAACTTTGGAGTCTATGCCATAACTCTGATTTTTAAAGATCAGTCATTGGAACTGAAACTAAAATGTGCCGCCTTTGGGTTTTCAGTAGGACGATGATCCAGAACATGGTCAAATAGATGAAAATGGGTCACCAGACATATCAGCCCTCTTCCATGAGCGTCCCAATCAGTGGGCCAAAAAGCTGTGAGATGAGCTGAAGAGAAGCAAGCATGACAGTCTAAAGAGATCATGCAAAGGGGAAAGGCCAAAGACCTTTGTTTGGATGCTCTACTCTTGTGAAATGTAGCAGGGGAAGATGAAAAGCTTTGTTGTCGCCTTACTGTCACAAATGTTCTTTGTCAGACTACAAAGAGTCTTTGGTTACTTTAGTCTGCTGGTTTGCTAAACAGCCTTAGAGCCAATTTGAACTGCTTTTCCGCTATCTTAATGATTTCTCTTCTCCCCAAACTCTTTGATTTATTCTTCCGCCCTCATTACCACAGAGACGACCAAGATGTGCAGATGTGATTCAACCCACTGTCCTCTTCACACGGCATATGACTTAACCACCTCAGACCTTCAAAAGTTGAGGCACAGATTTAAGTTATTAGAGGGTTACACTGGTCCTCCTTTTTTTTTCTCCCCTATCTCTCTCTGAAACTTTGAAACACATCAGGTCCAGCAGTCGGAGGCTTTGGTTTTAAAGGCCCCGGAGAACAGATTGGGAAGAGCCTCACCCTGACAGCTTTCAGATGTGCAACTGTCTCTGGAGAATGGGAGAGCCACAGCAGCTCCAATTAGCACCCCATCTGTTGAAGAGTGGTCAACAGGGTGCGGATGACAAATCCTTAACACGCTGAAATGTAGGAGTACAGTAATTTGATTGTACAGGCCAACAAAGCTGCCGAACACCATAAAACATGACAGAATACAGCATTTCTCCTTTTGCTGAGTGGTTTCAGCAAGATTCCTCAAAGTATTTCTTTGTGCCTGATGTGAGGACAGTTGTAAAGCACATTCTCTAACTTGCATTTTGATGAGTAAGTATAAAAACGGCAGGAAAAAGGCCAGCAGGGCCACAAAGAAAAATGAGAAGGCCAACGCAAGGGCCAAACTATTCGACTTTGTAGCGATTCTGGGAGGTCCGGTTGGCTTCTTACATGAGTTACAACTAGTTGTCCTCATCAAGAGAAGCCACAAGTCTTCCTGAAAATAGTTCTGGGCAACAGAAACCCAAGAAAACTGGAGCTTGTTAAAGCAAGTCGGAGATTTCACTTAAAATGCCTCTACAATAAAGAGCTAAATCACAGTTAATGGATTTTACCTGATTCAAGATTCCTCCCAATGTGTTTAGTAAGTAATCCCAGTATTTACATAATTATGTAAAGTTTGTTTTCACTGTACACAATCTTGACCCTCAGCCAATTATTTGTAGCATTGACTAAGATTGAGTGGAGAGACTTTGTGAACACCAAATTTAAAGCACTGCCACAGATACTTTATTGGATTTAGGTCTGGACTTTGACTGGGACATTTACCATAAACCATATGCTTAGATCTAAACCATTGCTTTGTAGATCTGCCTATATGTTTAATGTTGTTATCCTGAGGACAGGTAAAACTCTTCCTTAACTCCAAATATTTTTAAAGCCTCTAACAACTTTTCCTTCTGAATTACCTTCTGTGAGTTGCATCAACAAAACATAATTCTTCTACCACCATCTTTTACAATGTGCATGGTGTAAATTTTCCACCTTATGTATTGATTAGCATGTTGACCAAAAGCTCAGTCTTGATCTCATGTGACAAGAGCACCTTCTACATGTTTGCTGTGTCCTCTAAGTGTTTTCCATCAGCTATGTACTTGAATTTCTTATGGGGTTTTTTCAGCAGTGGCTTTCTTTTAGCAAAATCTTCAAGAAACCTCGGACTTGTACAGCTGTTGTCTTGACCGCTGTTTGTTGTTAAGACAACTAACGGCTGCTGTCTTGACTGATTTTCTCAGCTGATGGATCAGTACATCTCCACCAGTTACCATGGACCAACTAGCTGCTTCTCCGATACCTGACCTGTCAGTTTAACCGGACAGCCATCTAGGATACCATTTATGTTTCATGTTTTTGAATGAACAGTTTTCAGTTAGGGTAGGGTAAACGACGTTCATATTAAATTTCTCTGTTCGCTGAATGCAAATCGACACCACACTTTTTTATTTTTTACATTTTATTTTTGAAAGGTTTTGAAAACCATTCCTGGTTTTCCTTCTACTTCACAATTATGCACCACATTCTGTTGGGCAACCAAATGCATCCCCAATAGAGTTCACAGAAGTTTGTGTTTGTAACATATAAAAATTAAGTCTCGCAAAACGGACACTTTTTAAAAGCACCTGTGTTTAGAACCAAATCTTCAGGGACATTATTGATAGTCTATATTTTGATCCTGATTCAGAGGCTCTATGACTGAGTCAGCCTGCTCTGACTCAGTCATAAGTGGATCTCCCCCCACTACCTCTCCAACCACCAGGTGGGGTAATTAAAGCTCTTAATTACAGTCTTACACTCGCTGTATTTATGGAAAATGGGATTACAGAAGAAAATTAAAGTCTTGGAGAGAACGAGCAGTAAATATTTTGTCTGTAATCTGGTTGTTGAATTTACTAAGCTGGCTCACAAGGTAGAAAATTGTCTGGATGCTTTATTTTTCGGTTTCTCTGCAGTAGAGAGCTTTATTTTGGGAGAAAAAAAGTCTTTATTTGACATGTTATTATTTTTAGCCTCAGTCCTTTTTTTTTCTTATTGGAATAGCCACCTTATGTATTATTTTTCAAACTATTGGGATTGGGGAAGAAAAAGAATCACTCACTTGCTTGTTTAGTTAAAAACACACTCGGTGTGAGAACGGGAAAATGTCGAATGATCAGCTTTTTCTGTTTCTGTAGCCTCTATTCTTGGTTCCAGCCGCCCCGCCATAACATCCCTCGGCTGGCCTCTTTAGATAAGTTGCTTTTGCATCTTTGTGTATTTAGGCCTCTGTGCTACGTTCCTGGTCAAAGCCACAAGACTCCTCAGGCTCTTCACTCACTTATTCTGACCTGATACTAATGAGACACGTGCCTTTGCGGTCGTTTGTCTTTCTTCCACTTGTCTGCATCTTTTGATCTAAATCCCAATGTCTTTGTATTTGCTGC